ACAATGCACTATATTACTAAATTATTCTGAACCTCATGTCGGCAGTTCTATCTGTCTATCTATGCATTAGATTGCAAACAATGCAGTTTAAAACCTACTGTTCTGTTCGGTCAAATGTATGAACGTTTGAACAGTATTATTAAGGATTAGCTTTTGGCAGAATTAGATTTTGTATTCTTAATATCTGCATTATAACATAATATGTTAATTGTATAAACTTTCTAACCCCATCCGCCCTTCCCCCGGAAAAAATCCAAACTCTCTCTCTTTCTATCTCTCTCTCTCTCTCTCTCTCTCTCTCTCTCTCTCTCTCTTTCTCTCTCTCTCTCTCTCTCAATAATTATTTATTTTTTCACTTTCAAGAAAGTGTTTTAGCCATAGTAGTAAGAGAGTATTAATATTTCCCCATCTCAACAGTTTTGTAATCACTTACAACAGATGTAAAGAATCCAGGCCGAGGAATGTGTTAGGTCCGAGGGATGTCAAATTCTGGTAGCTCAGGTCCCTGGAAAATGGGCAGATAATATTAGATTGAACTTTCATTGCAATCCTGTCAGGTTATTTAATTCACCGATAAGGCGAAACAATAGGAAAAATGCATAAGGATACAAATTCGGATCAAGATGAGCCTCGAACCCCTCAATTTGTAAACTAATATTTGCTGGTCCAGTAGTTTGTTTAATCACAAGACTACCGACGCCAGCTCTCCATCTCAGGATATCCTTTCCAGAACAAGGTTAGATGGATATTGAAAAGTGGACATTAATAATTTACAGTTATGCATTGAAGAGTGGACAATGAAAAATATAGTGATTTAAAAGTGTATGGAAACTTGGAGATACAAAAATTGGTCAGTTAAAAGTGTATAATATAGTAGACATTGAAAGTGGTCGTAAAAATGAGCTTTTACATTGCACCGAAGAGAGTAGATTGATATTAATAAGTAGTAAAGGTGCACATAAATTTGAAATCAAATTGAGGACATTGGAAACTGCATCTAAAAGTAGTCATTTAGTTGTACGTTGAAAAGTGGACATTGAACGTCAACATCAAAACGTGATTAATAATTAGAGAGAAGTGGAAATTGGGCATTGTACATTGGGAAGCGAAAAGACTGGATACAAACACATACCCAGGGTGAATTTATCATGGCAGAATGTAGGGTCTATAACAGTAGAATTTTTTGGGGAAAAAGTAAGCAGATTTCCTGTACAATAACACGCCCTTAGGCTTGAGCTTAGTGCCAGTAAACAGATACGAAGGAACAATAATTCCCATAAATAAACTTTTATGTACACACACACTCATGATAAACACACTTACACACTCACAATTAACACAAATAGGCACACACACACACACACACACACACA